TAAACTATTTTTGGGTAATCAGTTCAGTATCAAAAATAACTAATTTACCTTAAGCTTCCGTTCTCTAATATTCTTGCAACAGTGAAGGTTTTATTTATCCTTCTCTTCTGAGTAGTTTTAGCCCCTAACTTCTACCTATTCACGAACCTTTGCTTCAAGCTGGTTACACATAACAGCAAAATTTGACGAGAGGTGTTTCATTTCTCTCTCTCTTCTTATTTACAGAATCACTGTGCGGAAAGATTTTCCTTCATATTCTCGAAGGTCCCTGACCCAGTTTATTTGTTCGTTGTAAGTAGTTCTACTTGCCTGATTTTTCTACTATTTTCAACCCGCTATGTCTTGTCATCACTACATATTCGTCTGCTAACGTCACTGCTAGCTTCCTTCCTTTTAACCATATTACTAACGATGTTGGCAGTTTTATTAAGATTTTCTTTTGTAACATTAAGTCTACAACCTTGTCTGTACTGCTAGATCCTTCTATCCATTTAACTAGCAACTCACCCAGCCATGTTCCATACTCTTTAAACGTCTCATTTGCTGTTATTTTTTAACTCTGCCCTTTCTGCGGTAGTCTCCTGATTTAACACCAACGTCTCTAAGTTAGCTGATTTCTCAACATCATTCTTCAATTCGTCTGCGTTTCCAACATAGATAATGCAGGAAATAGCTTTCTCGCCACGTACAGTAGCCGTCATTCACCTGCACCTGTTATTTTTTCATAAAATAAATCTTTATTGCTTTCGCAAAATTTAGGTAACTGTACATGTCTTCTTTCATGCACGACAACCCTATTTTCAGAATTACCATGCCTTCCACTCATTATTAGCTCGAATTCTCTGCTAATGTTTTTTTTATTCTAGCTTCAGATTCTATTTCCTAGCAATTTATTTCTAAATGTATTTTAGTAAGTCTAAATTATTACCATGATAATATTGAGGAACATGACTCGCAGTTCACATAATATTACTAAGCTCTAAGTTAGAAAAATCACCTATTATGACTTCCGCCTCAATTAAAACTTCACACATTTTATATATTTTTTTCTCCCTACAAGTGTTACTATATGTTGGGCCCGGCATGGCCAGGTGGATAAGGCGCTTGACTCACAATCTGAGGGTCGCGGGTTCGAATCCGCATCCCA